CATAATAAACATACCTTAAAAGATCGTACGATATCATGTGAGACATAGAACTTGAATCGGTTCTTTATAATTCATTCAAGTTCTTTGATTGAGCTATCAGACAGCACGTGATACTTATTCATAATTGTAAATAGCGCATCTTAAATCAAAATGTGTAATTGGAGGGAAGAGTTTAAACCATGACATTTATCCATTTTTAATTTTTTTTTTTTTTTTTTTTTTTTTTTTTTTTTTTTGTGTGTGTGTGTAAAATTATTAACGTATGGTGAAACTTAAAAACAACGAAATTTAGTAATTGTACTTAATAAAAATTTTAATTACCTTTTAATAATTTTTATTAAAATTAAATTTATTGTTAGTATCTTTTGGGGGATGTGGTAATTCTAATCACTCTTTCTGTGTGATTCACCAACAAAGTTTTTGGTCTGTTTTGCGAAATGATGCAGTCCGCACCCCGCTGCCTTATCAGATCGAATGCAACGAATCAAACTTTCGGCTCCTTGAAGTTCGTCATAGCGGGGCTCGATTGTATTGAACTACTTTTAAAATTTTTTTCAAGAATGTATTTCTGCCTACATGCTCTATTATTCGTTGTATTTCTCAAAAGATGTAAATCACCGTAATCCTTCTTCAAAGCATCATATTGTCACTTTTTCCACCGATTCTTCTTCATTTAAGTTTTCGGCTCACTAGCTTTTGGAGTAAAATTTTGGCTTTATGTGCACTATTGTGAAATATTTTTGCGATGAATAAGGACTGCATGTTTCAAATTCAGCCTCAATTTGGTTTTGATTTCAAAATAAAAGCCTCTGTACATTTCGAGAAATAATTTGGCGCACGTTTCATTGGAACTCCGCGGTTAGAAATCGTGTTACCTCATACTATCTGTTAGCCTCGCATTCGTGATTCCTCGTATTAACCTTTCCATTTTCAGACTGTTTCTACAACTAGTGATTATTCAGTTAGAGAAACATTTTCGTTCCAAGAGTTTTAGCTCTAACTCATAACATATATTTAAGTACTCTCATTTCTGGTAATAAAATATCACATGGCCCGAGATACACTGAACTCAAAGCAAGTGAAGTCTGTCATGTCCGGTTTGGTTTACCTTGGACCACCCAATACAATTCATTATCGTGACTGATTAATATTTATGTGTAAAAAACCTCTGAAAATTGGCCGTCCGACCCCCCGTCGCGAGTTCGAATGTAATTATGGATTATGCAGTTTTTAAGGTCTCCGTGGAGTAGAATGCTGGAGACGTTGCGATAGCTTCTTGAAAGCGCATTGGCTTAAAAAGGTTTAGTTGCAAAGTTTTGGATATTGTATCTCGCTCCTACTTGTAATTTGTCGCATTTTGATGACAGAGTTCTAAAACCTTCTTCCTACTTATCTTATTTCATATTATACCTTAATAATTTTATAATTAAATTTTTATATTTATTTGTTTATTCATTAAACTAGAGCTGAAAAATTAAATGTATGATCTGCCAAATACGTACGTAAGCAAATGTTTAAAAATACTAACGTGATATTTTTAACGAAATTTAAAAAAATGAAGTATAAAAATGTTTAAACGTTTGTATGGTATGTTTATTTCATCATTGAAAATATTCTTTCCATATTTCAGAGACAAATAGTGTAATATTGCTTATAAAATTTTTTTAAAAAAGAAATCTGAAAGTTTTCAGATTTTATATTACGCCCAAAGGGCCGTTTTTTAACATTTTGTGTGTTACCTTTATTCAATAAATATCATGTTCTTCGCACTTAAATCATAAAATTTAATTCAACAGCAATATCATAAAATATTTAAAAGAGCATATTGTTAGAATTTCCGATACACGGTCTCACGCGCTAGATATATTCGTGGGTGTCGCCATTGTTTGCTTTGAAATTGTTGAGATTGTTAATCAAAAATTCGTTAAAGTTTTACAAAATATGAATTAGATAATAAAATAAATTCTAAATTCTAAGTTTGGGCTTTCAGATGTGTATATTCGATACCCTACGTTATTCAAAATTGGATGTCACTAGGTACTATTATTTTTCACAGTGCGAGAACCATACATACATTCATGCAGATTCTTCATTATATGATTTCTTTAAATATAATGCAGGGCTCTGGTGGCAGCAGTTTCAAAAGTGAAACGCGTTTTATAGTGAACCAATGCAAAATGCCAAAACGAAATTAATACGCCTTCTGGGGAAATTGCCTCTTTGAACTAATAAATATTTCTTGTAACGAATTCAGTATCTTCACTGAGGAAAGATAAAAATCTACTCAATAGGGTGAAAAAAAGATGTAGGAATGAGAGCATGAAAAGTTCGTATAAAATCTTCTAATTTTATGCAAAACTTGTTGCGTGAGAATTTCCAGCGAAAATTGTTTTAATTATAAGTTTCCCTCGAAGGATATCATAATATTAAATTTATGCGAGAGCTGTTGTAATGATAAGTTCATATGAAAGCACTTGTAAAATCGGTGTACGCTGTACGTCCCGACAGACATCATGTGCAGATTAAGATCTTCAATATAGTAGATTCCACGCTGTCGAAAGAGAACACCAAGATAAACAATAAAATCCAAGGTCAAGGGAGAAATCATCCCAATTTCGTCATAAACTAAACATACTGCGGCTGCTAGCATTTGTAGCTCAACGGCAAAAGAAGTCTAAGCGCGCGGAATATGTGATCTTCGATTCAAATTGTTACCAAAATCCGGATATTTATATGGATTAAATTTCTATTACGGATGAGATTGGTTTCAAGCTGTTAGTAACATTTCTTGAATAATCAGTACAAGTAGATCAGACTTCGGTTTCAGAACTTACTGATAATATAAATAATAAGAAGAGGGTTACTGATAATATAAATAATAAAAAGTTCCTTTTATCTCAGCTTTTAATTTTTTCTCTAATTTTAAAAAAAATGATTATTGAAAACATTTCCTTATTTAATTTAGAGCTGATCATAAAATGTTATCTTCTTCTCTACTATCAATGTAATTAGGAAACTTCCTGCATTCAAAATTATTTTCATGCAGAATTTTGAAATTTTTTCTCGTTTGCGCACGTGTCATTAAAATGCAGTTTCTCGTTCACCTCAAATTCGAGAAATAACTGATCTTATTGCGATACGAAACAGGTTGTAGATAAATCCTGTTTCCAATGTATTTGCATCCGTATTCTACGGATTGGTATAATTCATAAAATACATGCATATTTATGTATGAGAACTGAATATTTTCTAATATAACGCGTAAATTGAGAAATCCGACAATTCATGGAATACCTAAACATTCTGTACATTTGTCGATTCAGTTCCTATATGTCACGTGTATACCTATATATCCTTGGCGTAAGGGGACGCAAGTAGGAGGGCAGAAATCCAAGAAAAAAATATATTTTTGTAATTGATGCATACTGGGAAAAATACCTTCCTTAGAAGTTTTAACTGTGTAATAATTAACTTTTCTTCTTTGAATAAGGTTTTACACTAAATATGATTCTTTAAATAAGGTTTCACACACTGTATTAATTCACATTAATACAAATTCACCGGTTTAGGGAAAAAACTCAGGAATTTCTGCCACACAAGGAAGGTAGCAAGTATCTAAAGTAGTACAGTAATTGCTGATAAGATCTAAAATAATTAAAGCTTTCAAGCAAATTCCGGTTCTGATTGGACTGTTCAGAATCTTGTTTCAAGGCGTCATCATATCAAAGGAGCTGATAAATTTAACTGGCGAGTTTTAATACAGGATTTGAACCAACATGAAAGTCTCTAGAAATGTTTCCCCCCTTCTTTTATAGAAAACTAAATAAGTCTGATATCCTTTACTATAACATAAATTGCACAATATCAGTTAAAAATTTATTATTCAAATTTCCTGTTTAATGAATGAAAATTTCCGAAGGGTTTTGAAAACTTTCCTAAGTGTTGACGTTGAAACTGAAAAAAAAAATCTAAAGCAATATAACTGAAATGGTAACTTCTTCATTCTCTTCCACCTAATGTGTTTAAATAAAAAAAAAAAAAACGAGGGAGGGGGATAAATCGTAGATTTTTCCCCCTCGACTCCCAGTAAATGGCTTGGAGAAACTAATTTCACGTTAGTAACCATTTACTTAAATGAAAAGAAAAAAATACGTTTGCTTACAAATATTCTAAAGAGCATTTAATAACATCCAGTGAATCTAAGAAATCTAATAATAATGTCTTTCTTAGACGTATAATAATGTAAGAAATCTAATAATCTAATCTAATCTAATAACATCTAAGCAAACATTTAATATCGTAGATGAAGAGACCGTTTTTAAATCTTACTAGAAATCTGAATGGACAATAAGATCAACAGGAAACACTCTCTAATCGATTTTCAATTCTAAAACTTTGCTGTGTTTCTCTCAAACACACCACTTCATATCTTTGTTACTGATGCTGCGAATGAAACGCAGATGTACGTAATCCACTTTCGTTTATTTTTGTTTAACTACACAAAATAACAATTATTTTTAAAAGAAATTATTATTATGCAATCAAAAAGAAAATTATTAATTGAAATATTCTACCTTGACGATCTTATTCGTACTCTTCTTAGTTATTTATTTTTCGTATATTTTGTAATTTTAATGTTTTCTCTTTTCAATTTAAATGTCATCACAACATTTCAGATGATATTCCAAGGAAATCCCTTTGAGAATTTATTCAATGCAAGCCACTGTTTTGCACTCGGTTCCTTAGATTCCACGCCGTTATTGGTGATATCTCTGAGCATACTGCTGATCGATAACACAACAAGATGTCTACCGAGACATTTTTTAAAAAAATTCAGTAATAAACTGAGAAATATATTAAGATTTTTCAGCATTAATATAATTTCAGAGCCGAAGTTGAATCTCTGGAAGCGAATGATGCTGCCAGAAAGAGAAAGATGCTATACCGCATCACGCATGCAATCCTTACGGTTCAAAGAACGGTAACAGAAAAGAACTTACCTGACCATCTTGGGCCTTGTTCACAAATATCCGGCAGAGCCCAGGGATCATCATCATCGATGGGCCCCGGGACCACCTTAGTGTCACCATTTCGATCTACGATGGCAGGAACGGGGGGCAAATCGTCCTCGCTCTTCATGTTCTATGGCGCGTTTACCGGGAGAAACTGAGACCGGCGAACAACATGGCTGATCGTGACGTCATCGGGTGTCCCATGGCACATGCGCGTACGGTTGTTGCTGAAATCAAACCTTAGCATCGCAGTTTCCGTCGCTGCAGGTCGAAGAAACGGGGTATTTTACGCCGATTTCTAGTCTCCCCTCCCCTCATCTTCCACTCTGCCTTTTTTTTAAGATGCCTTTTTTTTTGCTTGCTTCTTTCTTTTATTTCCTGTCTAATTGTCCGTAACATCTGCACGAGAATGGGTTCAGAAATAAAATTTTATTTCGGAAACAGAATTGTAGATATCACGTAAAAGAAAATGATAGTGTGGTGGGAAACAGATTTTGTAGAAACAAAAGGAATTTTTTTATTAATTTATTTCAAGATTTTTCAGTTCAGTTCTGGGAGAGTTCATATCCATAAAATTAAGTTTATTGAATACAATTAATTTACATAAAAATTCCGCATTAAATTGACTTTTATCCGACGAGCAGATAAACTGAATTACTGGGCTGTGTGAACATACCTGCCCATTCCAATACAATATCAAGATATTTATCAGCCGCTGTGTCTCTAAGCACTTCATGTATGTGAAACCTTTAGTGAAAATTTCCAATTTAACTATTCGTTTATGCTATTTGAAAGGTGAAATTTATCATAAAGCAGTTGATTTTTTTTTTTTTTTTTTTTTTTTTTTAAGTAAGCTGTATCAAATTGTCAGCACCTGCAAGTATGTTTAGTCTACTATTTAAGCTCAAAAACATTTTTTAAAAATAATCTGTTTGAAAAAAGGCGACTTTGAAAAATAGGATTTTTAATTTTGAATACTCGCAAATACTTTTTTCTTTATAGAATAAGAACGAAGAAAAATATTCTTTTATTATAGTCAAAATATGATCATAAAGTAGATAATTATTGTTAACTTTACTGCTCATAAATCTGTTAGATTTGTTAAGCGAGTCTGCCGTGAAAGCGGAATTTCTGAATACTTTAGTGTCATCTTTTGAATTTATGCGCAATGTTAATCGCGAACAGAGTCACGCATAGGCGGCCCAGGCAGCCGCTAAATTGTTTTAACAAGCGAATACAAAATTTATAAATAAAATAAATAAATAAATAAATATAAATAATAAATAAATAAATAAATAAATGTATATTTTGTTTTTAATTATTAACATGTTTAATTTATACGGGTGCCTATTCCACTGGTGGCCTAAGGCGCCAATAATCCAAAACCGGGCCTGATCACAAATAGTACACTAAAAGTTTTGTTTACATTTGGATCTTCCCACTTGCACGTGAACGAACACTTTTTTGGTAATGAAATGAAATCTAAATTGGTAAAACATCTCCTGTACCTTAAAAGATTATTTGTTTGTTGATTTGTCAATATTAAGACGATATTTTGATAAATTCCGTGAAATATACCCAAATATAGGCATCTAATTAACTAGTTAAAGGCCTGTATAATATTCATTATTTAAAAAAAAGTAGTACTGTAAGGTATTTCTCCCGCCTTCTTAGCGAGCCTTCGTGGTGTAGTGGTCAGCACCCTCGGCGCGTAATTGAGAGGTCCGCGGTTCGATTTCCGACGAAGGCGTTGCTAATTTTTCATCTTGCGTGCTTCCAAAACTACCTAATGTTTCTACAGTACTAATTCAAATTCAAATCATGTCGTCGCGTTATCATGGATCACGTAAAATGGATCGTTGATTGAGAAAGGCTGGAGGTCGCTGAAATATGAGATAATTTTTTAACAAAATGGTATTTATCATATTACAATAGATGTTCATATGTTAATTAATATTTAATTATTAATAAATTTATCTCTCAATATGTAACAGTAAAATTTGATTATAATGGTGTAGTAAATATACATTTTGTTTTGTATTTATAGTTAGATGTGTTTCTTGGTATTATTTTTTTAAATCTACTTCCATTAACATGAATCTTAAAGCCAAAGTATAAAACCATCAAAAGTAATAAACTTTAACGATTAAATTTTCATAGGCAGGAAATAAAATAAAAGAACAAAGTGAAAGGAAAAAGAGATCAATAACATTTACCTTAACTCGAAAATTTGCATATGCTAAATACTTAATTAAATATTGCAGAATGCTAAATACTTACTGCCCAGCTAGGCCCACTTGGATTTATTGCCTCATGGCATAGAACATTAGGATTATTTATCCATACAGAGAAGTACTTCCTTCGAAAAACTGCCTCATATTCACGTTACACATGGGAAAACTCATGAAAATTTCCAAGCAGCCAGCTTATTTCTCTGGGATACGATATCGGATCGGATTATCATCGTTGATCGGACCACTCAGCCAGTGTTGGGTAGTAATCATCAATTAGGGCTATGAAAAGTCGATAATTGGCTTCTTTAAAAGAGCGATAATTTGCACATAGAAAGATAAAATCCTGAATTTATTCCCAGTAAAATATCAAACAATGGTATCCGATCAAAATAAAAATAGAGGAATGTAGGTAGGCCTTCCACCTTAACTGTGACACATTCTGCACTAGACCTCACTTGTTTTATCATTAAAAAAAAAAAAAAAAAAAATTCTTAAAGTTTCTTTACATTCTGATACGCTAATTAAAGAACTTCCAAGAAATTCTTTGTTTAGGAAGTTTAACTGACAGAACTGTGTGTGTTTTAAAATATCATGCATTACTAGCGCCCCAGACAGTCTTTGGTGAAGGGGCAAGTAAACTGATTAGTTTCAATCCTTTTTAAATGTCAAAGTTCATGAGGGACATGCCAAGTTCTGGGTAAGTGAGTGAATGAAGGAAGCAGTGTAGGAAAAGAAAGCATTTACAAGTTGCAGGTTTTATTAAGCTGTCCATGAAACTGTACATGATCGCTGTAAATGACAGGAATCAGTTTGGCTAAACAGGTGCGAATTTAAGAGAGACGGAACTTTCTTCATATGATGATGCCACTGCTGCCTTGCCGTGCGGAATTTCTTGGCTGCAAAGAAATTGAACCACCTGCAGAAAATAAGAGGGAAGTGGTAAAATTCAGTTAATGAACTGATATATTAACTGGACTTAAGATGGATTATTGACACTGAAATACTGTTAATAGATTCGACAATGAGAGCTACGATGAAGTGCTATAGATATGACAGTTGCGAAATATAACTCAGTTACATGCATATGTAGAATATAATCAGTTAAATGTATGCGTGTATGTATGGTATAAATACTACGATAGTTAACCTATAATTAATTCATGCTGTTACATAGAATTAAACTGATACAGAATACAATAAACTAAATAAAAATGAAGCAAATAATGCATTACTTGGAGTGGAACTGATTTGCAAAACACACACAAACAGAACAAAAAACAAAAAAAAAAAAAAAAATCTGAGAGCTTTTAGATTTTATTTTACGCCCAAAGGTTATTACGTTTTTTTAATGCTTTTTGTGGTATCTTTATTTATTAAATAAAGATTTATTAGTGGAAGAAGAAATTGCACTTAAACCATAAAATTCAGTTCAACAGCAATGTCGCAAAATAATTTTAAAATGAGCCTATCTTTAGAATTTCCGATATACAGTCTCGCGCGCTGGAGATAAATATTTTATTATTTTGCAGTTCTGCTATTGTTCACTTTTAAATCGTTGAGTTTCTTAATCAAAAAGTCATAAAGACTTTACAAAATATGAAATAGATAATAAAATGAATTCGAAATTTGGTCTTCCAGGTGCCCATATTCGGGTGCAGACGTACGTTATTCACAGTGCGAGAAACATACATACATTTATACAGATTCTTCATTATTTAATCTCGTTAAATATAATACAGGGCTCTAATATTTTGTGGCAACAATTTAAAAAGTGATTCGCCTTTTATAGTGTATCAACGCAAAATGCCAAAACAAAATTAATAGCCCTTCTGGGCAAATTGCCCCTTAGGGCTAAAAAAAAAGAATATATTAATTTAAACTATAAGCAATTAATGCAGTTACTTAGAATAAAATAGGTAACTCTCCTGTATATAGGTTTCTAGAAAATGCTGGGTTGTGTGAAACCGTGTTGTACGTGACCCACAGCCAGTACAAAAAGGGGGTTACGTTTCGAAACCTTATTAAAACCAAGTATTTTTTTTTTAATTCTACATAAATAACTTGAATTTTCATTAAAACTATAAATGTATGTACAACAAAAAACAAAAAATATTGTTTTAATCTAACGCAACTTTAATTTCATTAATTTCTTTTCCGTTATTGCTCACTATAATTAACCGAGAATGTTTTTTTTTTCGGTTAATATAAATGTATGTACAACAAAAAAACAAAAATATTGTTTTAATCTAACTTAACTTTTAATTTAATTAATTTCTTTTTCGTTATTGCTCACTATAATTAACCGAGAATGTTTTTTCGGTGGAATGAAATCGCTTTCATTGTCAGAACATTTTTCTTCATTTAAAAGTTCTGGCATCTTCTTCCCTCTTTAAAAAATCTGTAATTTTACTTTTGATTACTCGTTCTTATCAGGTCATTGTAAATTTCTTGAAATGGAGCTAGACAATTCTGCAGCTCCCTTTTGAATTTTCGGCTTCTTTCAGCGGAAGGGCGTGCATTGAAGAAAAGTGACTCGAAATTTTCAGCTAAGCTTAGGCCTTCTTTCAATTTTTTTTAGTGTTAAATTATTAACTGCACAGTCTTCATCAGTGCTAGTGTCCTCAGAATTGTTTTGATTTACAGCTTCGAATGACATTTCCATCAAATCTGCTTCGTCAATTTCTTCTTCCACTAATAAATCTTGAACCTCGTCAATAGCCATTTCCAGAAAACCTTCTACTCCGATAGACTTACCGAGTTCTAATATGCTACCAATTTTCGTTTCCTGACGATTCACGCAAGTTTTCTATTTCAACTGAAGAGAGCGACATCTTCTTCCAAGCACGCATGTAACGTTGATGTGTTCAATTCTTTCAGTGACAACGATATGATGTC